TAGAAATTAAGGTTCAGACAATTCTCATCCAATAATCTTCAGAAATCATAAGAATTTTATGATGATTATAATAACATTTTAGAAATTTAAAAAATACACAAAATATTATTTTATGGAATAAATAAAACTTGATGCTATTAATTCTTAATAATGCTATAATGTGTATTTTTTATAAGAATATGTTTTATGTATATCCTAAAACATTGATAGTATATACAAAAAGTTTGTACATTTTCCTCCTTACTTCAAACAACAATTCAAAGAACAACCATTTCTTATGAACATCTATATAGCATTAGGCGTATTAATTTACAGTTTAATTCTCTAAGTAAGTACGATTCGAGTTACAGAGGTATTGTTTTAGTAATTCACAACTCCGACTAGAGCCAGTCTCAGATATCAACAAGAATTAATTTATGTAATCTTGACCGGATCATTTAAAAGCATTCTTAATATAGACGTTAATAATTTTTTTCGAGCTAGCAGATTTATTTTCATATAAATCATGTTTCGGGTTTTTTGTCAAATCAGTTTCGCAGTTCTCATGAACAATGCATAAGTTTTCTATTTTTGTCTTTTTTGTATGGAAGTGTATAATTAATAGCTTATCAATTGTGTTACAACTACTGACAGATGTAAATTTGCTTCCTTCGCTCTAATAAATTTATCTTGTGTCAGCGTCTCCTTTCAAGCCTCTGCATGAAACAAAAGGGAGTCGACTAATAAATAATGTTTGCGGAACAACTTTTAAAAAGACTTTGTGCTTTTAAAAATTTCCTCCTCAGTTTTAATTATTTTAAAATACTAAACATTTGTGTCGTAATCATATTAAAGTGATGTTATTTGTTAAATATGTATATGTAAAATTAATTACTTACGATTTCAATTGAAGCTATTGTCTGTCTGTATTCATATTAATAATTATAATTAAAGTCTTAGATTTAAATAAAACTTTCATAAAAATATATAAAAGCAGGACGAAAAAAACTGTATCGGTATGTATTTTCATATAGATATGTATTAGCTAATAGTGTTACAACATACCGGTAATTAAACTACGAGTTGTAGCTTACGAATCAATCTATTAATTTTCAAAGACGGATTATTTATTATCGATAAATTTCAAGTACACGAGGTATTATATCTATGAAGTTGATAAAGATGTTTAAACAATGTAACTTTAACTTCTGTATGCTTTTTTAATGTTATTTCTCTATATTTTATGTAATACATTAATGGAACTCAATATTATTCTACATATATATAGAATAGCTAGCTCGTCTTATTTTAAATTTGGACCTCAGCCAAGTGATTCTTCGGTGATATTTCAAGGTTTCTTTTTACGGCCTTATATAATATCTTCTTTTTAAATATTACGTAATATTTGGGATTTCCAATGAATATTCACGAATGTAATAGAATAAACAAAACGTACTTATAGCATATCCCTTCTAATATTATAAATGCGTTAGTCTTTCTGTCTGTCTGTTACACTTTCACGTCTAAACCATTGAAATGATCTAAATGAAAATTGGTACAGACATAGAGTTGACCTTGAGAAAGATAGGATAGTTTTTATCCCAGACTTTTGGAAGGTTCTCTTGGAAACGCGATATAAACGAACTCCACGCGTGCGAGGCTACGGGCGGAAAGCTAGTGGGCTATAAAATCAATCTATATATCTCGGTACTTGTAAGGTCCCTGGATTAGCTACGGAAAAGATATTTAGAAAATTAACACAAGTTACGATAAATTCTTCATTGAGCTTGGATAACTATTTGGAGATCAAAACACATATGGCCAGTTTGATGGAGAGTTTAATTTAGTTTTACTATTTGTTTTCCGCTCAACAAATAGACTAAAAGTAAAGAACAAATAATAAATATTCTAAAGAAAATCATCGTACTTACCTATCACATTTTCGTGTATATAATGTAGATATATAAATATATTCTATAAGATATCAAATTAAACTCATACTACCAGCCTTAATATTTAAGTTTCATCAATTAATTGAACTGGTTTTTAAATTATTATCTAATGATAAGAAGTTTTTTTTTATATACATATTAAATACTGAACTGGTAGTTTCATATTTTATTTGTCATATACTGTTAGTTTTTTACCTATTTGGTAATGTACCTTTTAATTTATTACTATACTTGGCAACGTCTATTTAAGAACGACTGTTGGATAGGAAATAATTTAAACTATGGCTCGGTGATATTGGTTATATCAAGAGTCAAACTGATATAACATAATGGTTTACGTTAATGAAATAGAAAAGGAAAAATATCACTAAAACATTTACTAAAACGATCAGATACATTATGTAAATGTGTGATTATATTTAAATGTATACGTGGCTTTATGAAAAGGAAGATATTATATTGTTGAAACGAAGAATCGTCGAGACTATGTAGTTTTTGAAATAATAAAAAATGCTTAGTATAATCCAAAAAATATTAGTTTCATTTATATGAATGCTTTAAGGTCTTAGATCTCATTATTATAGTATATTTAATTTTGTTTATAACAGGGTATAAATAAAACTTAGACATCATTAAGAAATAAAAATTTTATTATTATCAGTTCAAATATCATATTTACATTCTTTCAAATGATTAGAAGCACGTTTACAATATTAATAAATCGACAACACTATGCTTACTCAAAGTTCGCATCGTCACTGAATACGCAACTTCAACAGTTTTTCATTTGTATTCGCACACTACAGTATTAACGTAGGCTATTTAATGTAAAACGGGAAACGCTACGTATATAGTCACGATGCGATCTCGGAGTAAGCATAAAAATGTCGATAGGAAACATAATAAAAACGATAAAAACTATAAATATTCTAATACATCACTAAAGTATAACTCAAACTCACGTCTTCGCCTGTCTACGTCATTTCATATTTCAATGTTTACAATCGCAATTCATATATAACTTTATCTGTATGTATCTTCTGTATTTTTTGACAATCTTAAAGATTTTGACTACATTCAACAAAATTATGCAATTTCCGGAAAAAAAATTGTGACAAATTGATAATGATTTAGACGAAAAAAAATTGCATATTTCCGTAAATGCCTACTTGAGCCTGATTTTGGTTAATATGAGAACTTTTGAAGTATTTAAGAAAATAATATATAAAGAAACAATACCAACTATATACAGCCTCCGTACAAACGACAACCAAATGACATACAATCAGTACTTCATTTCAAAAATGCAATCACACCGGCGATAATATCGCCATCCTAACACTCACTTTACACGGACATATGAAAAAAAACGACTTAATAACGAATAATGAATGAAACTATTTATTGAGAATAATTACGTTAAAATATTGATTGTAAAGCAAGTGTAAAGAAACCATCGTTTAAATGCTAAATCCTTATTACGAGTTTCATATTTAACTGTGACTATGACAGTCATCGATTAGCATTTAGGGCCATTCAACTCACGTTACGCGAGTATTAAAATTCTTATGACTAACACGAAAACTTTCATAGTTACAGTTAAACATGAAACTAGTACTAGGATATACAAGTAACATAGCACGGCGTGCCTCACTCAACGGGTGATACCACATAACTACACACAGATAAAACTCAACAAACCATGTACACTGAAAGTATTGCGTTTCTCTATACAATATATTAACTAATTTGGTGTTTGGAGCCGAATTAGATTAAACTAATACTAAAATACTCAGAACGTAACTCGACTTCGTTACGAAACTTGCGTAACGTGCGTAACGCGTAACGTAACATAATAGTGACGCACTATTAAAGTAACGTTTGTGTATCGTTTGAATGTACAGTCGAGTGACGTTCTCAGTTAATTGTAAATGTTTCTAAAGCTCTGTATTCACTACTCTATACTATTATACGCTATGAGCCCCACATTGACAACTCTCTGCCTTGACCTATGTCTTTTACAATGGCAGTGAAAAGCATCCGATCTTTGTATAACAATCATATCATTAACTTACGTTAGACACTGAATGTGATGCTTAGATATAGCGAATCAGTAAAATCTCAAAATCTTTAAAGATTTTATATTTCCAGCGAATTGAAAGCATATGACTATTTAGTACATTACACGATCTTATTGTTAGTAGGTATTTAATACGCTAGGAATCCTGAGATTGTCTATGTAGTAGTTCGTAATATTATTAAGTTTTTTTTAATATAACCGAGTTGCCAATGCGTCGGCGTCTACACCATTCTAAGTTACGTGAGGGACCACTAACATTTTCTCTAACTGGTACATCGACGCTAGACAACTAGCTTTATACTAAATTCCAATTAATTATTATATATTTTATTTTGAACCTATTATTATAATTTACATAAGGACGGTCCCACACTTAATAAACTTGAGATCTGTCGTAATTAATTTAGTATCGATCGCATACAATTCACACCGCTGTCCGTGAACGCCAATTCGTTTATATAAAGGCATGTATTAAAAAATAAACGATCATTAAACATCTGAATCATATCATCTATGGCTAGAACGTAAAAGCTATAGCAAAATATCGTCTTCGTTGAAATCAATTTGTTCGGCAAGTTTTAAACTTAACATTACGTCAAACGGATTTTATAATACAGGCTGTTAGACTATACCGTATTAAATATAAATAATTCTTTTAAAAAACATTTTTTTACCAAAAATTATCGGCGTATAGCATAGACAATTTTTTTTTATAACGTCCATTTGTCGGACACATGGCACACAGCTATACGGCTCCCATCTATCAGTATACCTTGTCACCATAGAATAATTGAAATATGGATGGATATTAAAAGCTTAACAAGCGCTAGGGGTCGAAACCGACGGATGGAGGATCTCGATTAGCTCGAATTAAACTAGGAGGGGAGGAATTTTGGTGGGGGGGGGGCAGGTCGAGTAATACGGGTCACGTGGATACATTCCGACTTACAGCTATAGGAATTGAGAGGTACTAACTAAATTTAATGGCCCTAGTCCTCGGGATGAAGGCAGACTCCCTCCACTGTGAAGATTGACACCTCTGTAACAATCATCACATTATACATATTATATATGTCTGATAAATTATATTTTTTACTTCCTTGTTATACACAATCTAAGAGATCACTACATTTCACTGCAACGTCTTTAATCCTACTAATATTATAATTGCGAAAGTTTATGAGCGTGCATGTATGTTTGTTACTTCTTCGCGATCAAACGGCTGAACCGATTTTGATAAAATTTTGTATACGGGAAGCTGACGTCAAGGAATAAGGTATAGGCTACTTTACATCCCGGGCGCAGCTAGTAAATTTTATATTTGATAGTCTATATGAATGACTTACCGTCTGGTAGACTAGCAAGTCTCGCTGGTAGACAATTGAAGTAATCATGAGCGAGCGCGCGGTGTGCTGGTAGTCTTCGAGCTGGGTCCGGCTGTAGTAAGGCCGCTGCCAGTCGCTGAGCGTCACGACCGGCGTCCCGCAGACGAGGAAACGAGGCAGCCAGCGGTCGAGATGGAACAGCTCCCCATCTGGACACGTGTGCAGACAGCCCGGGGAGACGAGTCACTCCTGACCATGACTCTTCCGTTGGAGTGCCGATGACCTGATAGAATAACTATTAATGAGTGGAATTTCTTCAGAACGAACAGAAACTGAGTTGACTGAATTGAAGGTAACGAGTATAACCACTAAGAGTATAGATATAGTGGGTGAATATTTGACCATGACTCTTGTGTTGGAGTGCCGATGACCTGGATAGATAAACTATTAATGAGTGGAATTTCTTCAGAACAATCGGAAACTGAGCTGGTTGGATGGATGATAAATGAGCATAAACACTAAGAGTATAGAGATCTTCCTCTTCTACCTGGCAATTTCCCAGCTTCAACAAGGGTCTGCCTTACATGTTGTGAATAGTTTTGGCTAATTGTTTTTACGACCGACCAACCCTCTTTAGGAATACATTAATCAATGATGTCTAAATATTCTTAGAAAGTACATATGACTCGGAAAAACCACATTGGTACTTGCCAGGATCGAACCCGCGCCCTCATGCATGAGAGGCGGGCCTTTTAACCACTAAGCTACCACTGCCTTACAAAGAGTATAGAGACAGTGGGTGAAAATTATTGAGTTGAAATACCAGAAGAATGATACTGTGTGGAGGAAGAGTATTGAGTGTCAACTTTATGAGAGCATCAAGTTTGTATGTCAAATGTAATTTTTAGGTCAGAAGCATTAAAACTGACCAATGGTGACCCTTGATTAGGTCCTATTACTCAGAAAATATCAAACATTATAATACAATTATAGGCTAAACAAAATATTATTACGTTATTATTTATATCATAAAATAAAGATAAAATGAATAACCCCAATTAAACTACTTCTATTAATTTTATGACATCCTCAATTCCATTCCCACATCTCAAATAAATTCAGCAGTTAAAACCTACGCAGACATTAACACTAAAATAAACCTAACCACGCCACGTGAAATTGGTTCGTTTATTATAAGACTGGAGGTCAAAGGTCAAAACTGAAGAATCAAATTCAAAGCAAACTTTTGGTTAACACAATAAATAAAAATTGCAATGATGGGACCAAATTTTTAATGACTACCTGCAATATAACTGCTAAAGTTTTTTACGTATAACACAATCTTATAGAAAACTAATTTTTGCCCGCGACTTCGTCTGCGTTACTTTCAAAATTAAAAATGTGTAGCTGACCGGGCAAACTCTATTCCTACATAAAGACAGAACATGAGAAAATTTTGGATTTGTTGAAGTTATTTTTTCTTTTCCAATCGGATGAAAGTATCCTATGTCCTTTCCGTTATTCTTATCTATCTTTCCACAAATTTTCAGCCAACAGCCGTTCTTGAGTTATGAATAGTTTAACTAACACGATTTTTTTTTTATGTATAAAGATAGCTAGGTTTTATTAATATAATTTTTCACTGTACCTTGAATATTTTGTCGAGCTGGTCGTTAGTGTCTCTTACTCCAGGGAAGGTCGGTACTCCGCACAGCATCTCCACGAAGATGCATCCCACACCCCACATGTCCAACGACGTGGAGTACTCAGTACTACCCAGTAATACGTCTGGACGAACGAAATAATTTCATCTTATATATAGTCTTATGTGTATTACGTATATAAATAGGTTTATGTCATCGTGACATCTTCAAGGTAAATAAATTTAATTTTCGGTGTGAAGATTACTATTTGCAGTATACGATTTATGAATATTGAATTATAATTGATAATTTATACAATAAAATACAAATAAAACATTGAAATATAATACATGGAACAGAATGAAAACCTTGGACTTGCTTTTTTCACATAGACTGTAGAGTGCGTTTTTTGAGGGGATTAATTTTAGGTGTTAACATTTTTGAGAATTATGCATTCAATTTAATGTATTTGTTTTCTTTTTTATGGACAGTAGTTATATTTTTGAGACAATTGTACTCAAGCGTACTGCTTGAGTACAATTGTATTGAGTATAATTGTAGTAATGTTACCAATATAAAAAATATATGATACTTGTTCACTATTTTGTTTAAATGTTTTAATATTGATATCTATATTGAAAGATCTTTTAATAAATCCCCGTGAGTTAAGTATCGTTGACAGTTTTACTTATAATTTAATCTCAAGAAAGTTCCTTTGAAAGATTTCAAGTCTAAGCGATTAAAACTAGTTTGAGTTAATGAAGTGACATTTTAGTAGGATACTTAGACACTTACTCGCTCTTTCAATAAGGAAACATCTTGTATTTTTATACTAGGAAATTAATAATTAATTATTAAATATGGCCTTCATTCTATTTTAGAATTTATTTACTTAGTACATTTTTATGAAAAAATATATTTTTGCATTGTATGAAAAATTTCATTTTATTCTTTTTTTTATTTTAAAGTTACTGTGCAACGTCTAACATTTAGGAGTTTTATCAATACTTAGACTGGAATAATATTTCTTACAAAAAAAAGAGTTAGACATTTACGAAAAATTTGATTTCGTCTTCTTTACATGAGTAATAATTTTTTACCATGAAACCTCTCAGCATTTTTTGGAAATCTTAGTATTTTTATTTACTCTTTCAAACCAGTGCTCGTAATTCTTCTCAATTCTTACTCTATATTCTAGTCAAATTTTAATTAAATTACATCTACGAAATGAAACTAATATTATTCGGATTACTACTTATTCATAATTTTTTAAACTACATATGTACATACTCCAGACGTTTAGATTACTTTGTAGCAAGCGTAATCATGGTCAGGCAAGATAAAAATGCATAGTAATACAAAAATATTAGTTTCATTTAAATGAATATAAAAGTCTTAGATCATTTTATATGTGCTAACCTGGTGGTCTATACCATAGTGTGACTACTTCGTGTGAGTACGTGTGACTCGGTACGGACTTGGCTCGAGCCAAACCGAAGTCAGCCAACTTGAGTTCACCGCTCGAACTGATCAGAAGATTCTGGGGCTTCACGTCTCTGGTGATAAATATATATACTTCAGAATTGATATATCTTTATGAGATTAATTTTAGTAGAAAACTAGTATGTGGATTCAGTTTAATTGGTTTGAAGTGTATGTAAAAAAAATATTATTTTTTGGCCATTAGTATATAACCCGTATTTGTGATTATTTAAATTGAATAATTACTGATATGACCACAAAATATTTTTCTTATCACCCCAGACAGACATGGAAAAAATTAAGAAATTTTACTTTTTTGAACTAAAAAGTGGTAAATTTTTTCGTTTATTGCTTTATTTCCACATTTAAAAAAAATTATTTAGCCTTTTTTGAACTAGATTTATGTTAATTACCTGTGCAGTACTCTTCTTCGATGGCAGTACGCTAGTCCTCTTAGTAATTGATACATAAATAATCTCACATTGTGCCTGTTTAATCCACCGGGGTGTCGCTCCATATATTGAGATAGATCTGTGTCCTGTCCAAATATTATATAGGTAAACTTATTGTTTCATACTAATATATAAATATATATAATATTATTGATTCGTAACACTATAGCAATACTTCTGTTCATTACTATTACTCTAGACTGCTAGGTTGAAAAAAATCGATATTATTTTGGTCCAATTTAAGTGTATTTTTACATACTGAAATCTCGTATGTTAATTTTTAACATTTTGCCCTAATTTTTCCTATGTATAGATTGATATAAATCTATATACTCACCACAAATTCGAACACAAACGTCAATGTCTCTCTTGTGTGTACAATGTCGTGTAACGTGACTATGTTAGCGTGTTTCAATTCTTTGAGTAAGGATGCCTCGCGTATCGCAGTGAATGGAGCACCTTCTTCTTCTTGAAGCCTGATCTCCTTCAAGGCCACAACTTGTTGTGTTAAACTGTTCGAAAAATTTTATATTACCATGATACGTATCAAATTAAACCATTGTTCCAAACTTAGGATACGAATAAACGAATGTCAAACGCAGTAAGACAAAAGTTGACAAAATTATAACTTCCATTGAAAATACAATTTAATATACGATGTTAATTATAAACTCTCAAGTACTTTCGTTTTAGAAATATCTTATAACATGGACTTCCCAAGAGCTTTAAAATGTTAAATTCATTCAAATCCACTCGATCATGACATCAAAGAAACCGCATTCATTACAAGTTTATAACAAAATTATAAGGCAATATAAATTTGTGATTTTATTGTGAAAATAAGAGGAAAATTCATTGGGAATTCATATTAGAAATAAACGTAGCAACTCATCTTCATCAACCGTTTTTCAAACTCGCGTCACACAGCAGAACTTTTAGCGTGTTTCTAATTTTAGCAAAACTCCCATTAACCAAACTCGTCTTACACTAACTAATTAATGTTCGTAAAGACTCAGCTTTTCCGTGAAATATTATCGGTTAAAATGTGAGAAAATTATCTCATGTTATTATTAAACTATCACCGTTATTAAGAAACTCAATTTTCTTTACATTTTAAAGACAAAACTCAATTCTAAATATGACTTCTGATACATTCCCAGATTTATTCTTAGACTGCATACATAGTTTTGGGTGAAATTCACAAAACTATTGAATAATATTCAAAGATAATATCGTTATTTAAAACCATTTTATATTATAAATATAGTTCTGAAAGAATTCAGCTACTAATAGAATCAAATATTTTTATTGTACGCCCTGATTTTTTTTGTTCATAACAAAATTCTCAAACGCCGTGAAAATTATGATAGACATTTTTCATAACACGAACATGACATATGCGAAAAACGTTTTTATATAAAAAATATGGCAGTTCTTGATAATAACGTTTAGGAAATATTTTTTGTTCATGACTAATATAAATACCAAAAAATATTGCTTTTTGCTTTTAAATACATCAATTCTACTAACAGATTTAAACATATATGATGCTATATTATATAATAATGTGATGTGGACGCATATAGGGTATTTATGTATTAACGTTAGTAATCTATATATATAAAAGAAAGTCGTGTTAGTGATTCCACTTATAACCCAAGAACGGCTGAACCGATTTAGCTGAAAATTGGCAGGGAGGTAGTTTAGAACCAGGAAATTGCAATAGGATACTTTTTATCCCGTTCGACAACATTCCCGTGGGACTTGACATGAAACGTCAGTCATTATAAAACGTGGAATAACACAATTGACAGCAACGCAATTGACGTATAATGACAGATATGTAATGACGTATGGATGACAATTAGATATTTGTAAGAAATATACTATATAAAAATAAAAATATTTAGGTATTGTGTTTGTAGTTTGAACTCTTAAAACCATTTAGTATTTGCGGGATAAATTTAGAAAATCATTGTTTTTCACATGGGCAGTTATATTTTGCGTGTTCACGAGTTTGGAAACCATACGCTTTATTTGTGTTAAAGTTAGACCAAAAAACAAAAAATGTGGTTTACAAAGAAGCACTTCAATGAAACGGATAATTTGAGGACACGTATAACGCTTCGATTCGGTATCTACTTTGGATTCACTTTCATTTACTTAGAGAAGTTCAACTAAATAACACTTCATTTTTGTAATCGAAATGAATTCATTACTGTTGTGAAATTAAATAAAAATTTTCCTTTTCAAATATAAAACAAAAAATTCTTCATCTTTTAATCACCAAACGAAATGTTCTACATATAAAAGCCTTCTGGTGGCGAAACGGAGTTCGCCAGGTTTACTAGTATTTCATATAAAAGGAATGGATGGATATTATGGTCCTACAAACATAAACGTGTAATGTCCACAAAACCTTTAATTTAAAAAAGGCTAATGAAATTTCTTTATAATATTGTATTTTATATACACTGATAATGTTTGATTTTTTTGATAATGTTTAATCAATTTAAAAGTGTATTTAAAAAACAAATCACTTTCTCATTTCTTATATCAGAATATTTTCGACAACTGCCATATATGATAAACTAAAATAACATCGAAATTGGACAAAAAATGTGTAACATTATAAAAACAATATAAATAAACTCACTTGCTATATCCTTTATAGACTGTAGCGTAAGACCCCTCACCCAGTTGCTCCAGTTTTATATACGCCTCAGACTTCCCAAAAGGAGAATCACCCTGCAACAAATGACCATCCATCAATGTACAGAATAATCTCACTTTATTTACGACCAAATAAATTTTATATGTGACGTTTGTTCGTATTTTTAATTAAATGAAATGAACAACATTTATCAATATCATCATGATGATGTAGGTACTTTGCATAAAAAAAAATGTAGATTTAAATTTAAATTTGCGCGAAATAATGAAATTAGGAAATAAAACATAATGCAGCATATAGAACAGGTACTTATTGTAATTTTGCTTTTCATTTCAAATATCATTTATAATATTAAGAATTATTTACAGTTTTTTTTTAACATCCTCATTGTATACAAACAGTATTTGATTTGAAGTTGAACTAAACAGATCAATTGTTTTAATATTCAATGTAAGAAAACATTGATACTTATATATTATAACAATTAGTATGTGCGTATATATATCTACCCAGCCGTTTTCGGCTATAGTGACTTAGCTTTGTTTTATATTGTTAAAAATAGGTAATATTTAAGCCCTGCGATGCGACCTCATTCATAATACTATGAAAGTAAAGGTTACATAAAATAGGCACAATTATTTCACAAATAATTACCAAATTAGCATAGGACATCCAACTTACAAATTACTTATACTCCATATACAGTCCAGTTTTGTGTTAATAGTATGGAATTAAAGGTTTAACAATTTTTAATAACAATTCTAAAAGAATAACTTTCGTGTTTGCAATGTATGAAATGAAAAGCAAAGTGAAATGACTGTATCAACTCAATTCTTGGCTATAACCGAAGTTGCTGATTAAGATGAGAGAGCATTGAAAACTCTTTGCTGTTACGAGAATCTTTTGTTGGAAACAAATACGCTATTTGAATAACGTATAGGAGTATAGTAAAAGTAACAATCTTTTCACTAATTAATCGTTTATTTGTTTATAATTGTATCATCTTTTTCGCGTTTTATAAAAAGGTGACGATTAATTGTTTAAATTAATAAATTTATAAAGGATATATTATATTGTAAAGATTTTTATTAATTAACTAAAATGAAGGATCTCAAGCAAGCGCCTGTCTAAATATTATTGTTGTATAATGTGATATGATATGCTTTGTTTTCATATTAAATGTTATGTTTGAATCATACACATTAAGTTACTTCATTATACATACGAGTATGTTTTATTTAATATATATATATCCAGTTAAATGTCAATATATTTTTCTACTTCACCTTCAACGTGTTTTTGTATCTAGAACACAATAATGGAGCATTTGTTACATACGTACGTTTTATATGTAGTGTTCCATTGTTAATATCATGACCATTTAAACGAGATACCAAATAAAGGTACTACACAATTCTCTATTCTTTATATGCAAAACATTAAACCCTTAGCGATTTTTCAATAGGAATCGCATTCAGTGTAAAAATAGCTATTCAGTTTTAAATTCCATTACGATTAACAAAAAAAGTTTACATATTTCTTCTTTGATTTATATTATTTTATACTTTATGGCCAATCCGAGAAAAAACATAAATAAAGTGACAAGGCTCGCATAAAGTATTAAATCTGGACCATTATCTCACGTCCATCAAAGAATGTTTCAGTGTTTTATCTTAAGAACACTGTCTTCTTTATGTCTATCCTCATGCAACATCACGATTGACTGAATATCGTCCGTCAAATGATCCGCGAACAACTTTCTACGATCATAATATGTACATAGGTCTATACGATGACGTGACCTTCAAACATTTAATCTCTATACAACGTTATATTGAAATCTTTGGTGGCCTTATGGTTAGAGGGCCCACCTCTCGTTGCCGAGAGCACGGGTTCGATCCTGGCCCAGGCAAGTACCAATGTGATTTTTCCGAGTCATATGTACTTTCTAAAAATATTTAGATATCATTGATTAATGCTGATTCCCAAAAGAGGGTTGCTGTCAGGCAGGCGGCCGGTCGTAAAAAAAAATTAGCCAAAACTATTCACAACACGTAAGGCACACCCTGGCTATAGCCGGGAACTTGCCAGGTAGAAGACAACGTTATATTGAAATGAAATAGATATTTTACTCACCCCGAAGGCACTAAACCGCTTGGTACGTCGATTGGAATTCTCATGTGGTCCCAGGAAGGCCTCGGACTTGGGCCTCGGCGGCCGCTTAGGCCTCATGACTACCCTCGCGTCCTCCCGGGCCCCCTCGTCTAACAGCTTGGAATCAGATGACACAGACAGCTGTCTCCGAACACGATACTCACCGTTACCACCGCCACTCCAATCTTTAAAAAGAACAAATATTTAAAGACCTAAACTACTATAAAAAAAAAATCATCAATTATACATAGAATTACACAAAAAATATATATGTAATTGTGACAAGAAACATTATTGTAGACAAATATTTTATTAACTTTTGATTACTTTTCACAAAAGTCATTTTTCCATAACAATTAATATCTATGAATGTATCTATATTTTAATCATACCTTAAACAATACAACGAATAGAGGAATTAGGTCAATGTACAAGTTTTGTTTGTTTTTGAAGTATCAAATATTGTGTTTTCAAAGCAGGTCATCGGGAAAATAACAATATTTTCATCAAATAATTTCTTCATCGCATTAACAATAGACAAGAGACAAAAGATATTTGAGAGTACACATTGTAAGAGGCAGTATTTTTCAGAGCAACGCTATTTTAATACAAAAGCGAGATCTGCTTTAACATTGAGCTTATAAATCATCAACAACAAATCGTTTGTATCACATAAATCGATTACGGAGACCATCGATCATGAATAAAGTAGGGATGAAGTAGGTGCTTTGATTTATTGAAAAAATACACGACCCAAAAGTTTAATCTTTTAAAAGTGAAAAATGTTTAATAAATTTCTCAGTCATCCTTAATTTATAGCCGCTTAGAGCTTGTTTTGCAAAGATTTTTACATTACGCATTATTTATGAACGTCTGTAAAAGGTAAATCATTGAATTATTCTAATTTTCTTCGACAAATCTCTCGTTGTTGCTATATAGTAAAACACTACATAGATTTCATTACGGTGACAGCGAGCGGGTGTGACTGACGGCTTTCAATAAACAAAAGTACCGGTGCTTCCCGAACCCTAACGAAAGTAATTTTCATTCTTCAAGCTTCCATTTTTGTTGTACTCATAAATTATGATACTATTTAAATTCACATAACTTTCGCATCGAAAATACATATCACGGATGTATGACATAAATAATTTTTTATCGAGTTTTTTAAGATATAAAAATTATTCAAAATCCTTTCGGAATCTTTGTTACTCTTTGTAAATCGATAAAGACGATAACATACACTGTTAATCTTATACACTACTACTCCATCGTTGTTTTGAAACATGTTTATACGTCAAAAAAAGTATCATCTTTTTCCTGGTCAAACCGCAGACATTAATATACGCCAGCATTACTTGAATGCACATAACGGTTAACACGCGAGATGCCGGACGGGGTTTAATTATTATTTACAGTTACACAGCAGAACGTGTAACTGAGAGGTGGGCATACATCGTCGTTAATAATATTTTATTTATCTCACAGCTGCCAATAGGTCCGAGCACTCCAAGAAATTCTACCAATCAAGGATATACAAATAACAAAGTCCTGTAATATTTTGATTTATGATCATACCTTTTAAAGACTTTACGTCGCGTGCGAGGCCAAAAGGTTTTATGTTTATGGTCCGATATGAGTATCAGACTGGTAGGACTCAACCAAATACCTCAGGCGGAAATAAAAATGTTTATTGGGCCCTAAAGTCGATTCGAATATGAACTTTTACGAATATTTGCTGTATACGTTGGCATTAAATGCTTTTAATAACGTAATGGCATTGGAACAATTTATGTACACTTTTTAAAATTCGTTTTCTCCAAAATAGCATTTTTTTTAAAGTTAAGTTGACAACGAACTATCGTGGTATTAATTTTGCAGCAGTTCAAGGCGTAATGTTTTGACCCTTTGTATAATTACGCATCTTATAATTATATTTTAGTTTATGACTTGGCTATTTGATTCAGATTTCTAGCAATTTTAGAATGTTTTTTTTTATTTGTTATGTTTTATTATATAATCATTTAGCAATAAAATCTTTTAAATAAGTTTTAATTTACATCCCGCTCAATATTAAAAAGTTCTCGCATTGTTAATTCGAAATTGGGATTTTACAATCTATTATTCACACCGAAAAATGAGCAGTCAAAAAGATTGTAACGTTGTTATATATGGAATGCAATTAATCCGTTTTCCAATTAAGGTCTACCGTTTAAGCAAATATTAATACATACATCAAAAGCATTACCCCCCTTTTTGTTTTCGCAATCAGGAAGACACGAGATTGGAAAATACAAATGTTACCGGTACAATGTACACAACGCCGTCACAGGTACGCTCCAATTATCCACGTACATAATAATTGGCAATTAATATAGCTACTCAGGCATTTACTAACTGAGCAGATAGTTTAAAATTAAATAACATAATTAACAAGGAACCGCAGCTCTAGTGAAAGGAGAATTGACAATACCCCCATATATTAAATTACAACGTCTCGGAAATAATTTCGACATAATGAATTGATTGAAGCGTATGATTTCGTTAAGAACCTAATAATTAATTGAATATTCTAATAAATAAAATAATTATAAATACAAAATATATAGACTGTTCTTGTTTAAAATTAACAAGTTTTTCAAGAAGACTAATTAACATAAATGCAATGAGTATGTCATGTATACATTTTTCGTAAATACTGACAGCTTTATTCTAGCACTGCCCATATAGTGAAATGGATTTAGTTCAAAATAAATATCTAACAAAAATCCATTGGATGAATCATAAATACAAATAACATTCGTTAATATTAAATATACAACAAACAAAGGAATGTAATCGAATTTTTAAACACTACATAATATTTCTTATCGAATACTAAACAAAAATTTATTATATAAAAAACTGAAACAGTTAATACGCATAGAGTCTTTGCATTTTATGTATAATAAAAAATGCACTTTAATAAATTTCTACGAAAGAAGGAATACAAGAGAAAAGCTCCGCTTCAACTTCTTACGAATAAAAAATGAAATATAAAACTCGAGTCGTTACCGCAAACCTAAAAGCAGTCGTTTAAAAAACCTTAAGTTTGTTTTAAAATTCACCACACGCTCTGGGATCGCCTATAAATATTTACACAGGCTGTATTTACACGTGTCAAAACTGAACCTTTGTCAGATGTCAAATGGTTTCTATAGGAACCTAAACCTGCACACTTGAAAATAAATACACCCCAAATAATTAATTTAAATACTGAATTCCGTATAGATTTAGTGAGTATATATTTCGAACGGAACTATTCCACTAGTTTAATGTATTATCTGATATAATTAAAAGATATATTCTTGTTGATATACTGTCTTCGTAATTTGTAATGGATAGATGGAATTGCAAATGAATGTTCTAGATACAAGAATTTATGAACAAGAATATCAATATCAAATTGTAACTGGAAAGTTTGTGAAGACGAATGGATGTTAGTTGCTCTTTGACATAAAAAGTACTGAACAGATTTGTATGTGAATTTACATTAATATAGCTTATCGATTAGAATAATTCATATTATAATTTATCCCGTAATACCGTGATATATCTGTGGGATCACGGTATAACAGCTGTAGTGTTTATAAAGATACGTAACACAAGCTATAAGTATCGCTGCCGATTGCCTACTTTTCCTTGCGGACGAAGCAGCATTAAAAAACTAGTGTTTCATAATTCGCTAATACGCAATATTATAGCCGATATGCAAATCGATATCCCAGTAGACAAACATGTGTTATGAATGTTGAGTAACTGACTCACCGTGGAATAACAATCTTGTGAAATAGGAACTGTTGCTGAACTGTTGTTTAATGTTATTAATTATAATTGACCAACACAACATTTATAGTTTCATAATACTTATAAAACAACTGATTTTTATACGTGTGTTTATTGATATTGCACAAAAATTGTAACCTGTAAAGACATTGTTTTAATTAAACAGAGCACTAATTTTCCAGAATTTTGTTAGTGTAATCAATGGTAATCCTTACGATAAATATATGATAAAAATATTTCGACCTTATATATTTGTATTCGTCTCATATAAGTATGTTAAACAGGCAGAATTAAAAGAAAGTTTGTGCTTTATATATTACAATCTTAATCCAAAGAATTCCCTGTTCGTGAACTGTAATTGAACGCCACTTTGACTCGGATTCACCCCTAACTGGCGACTAATTATACGTAACATGTTATCAAGCGGTGCATAATGAGAGACATTTATATATTTTCTAACAGATTTTAATTTGAATTCATTTAAAAACTAGTTCCTCTCTACAAAGAAAGTCTGATATTACATATATTACCGGGTTAAAAAACATTATTTTTTTCTCTACATTTCGACTAATAAAATGTTAAATTTCTACGCAAACTACCCTTTAATTGAGATCGGATATTAATTTGATTTTTTTATGGTTTTCGATAAAATTGTTATTCAGTAAATAACTTGATAAAACAGTTTCAGATAATGTTCTTAAATTCCGCCACCGAGTTTACAGTACAAAGTACAAGTTATAGTCATGAGAATGCTAGAGATTTCCTGTAATCACGTAACATCCAAGCTCAGTAAGTTTTGTTTAATGGATGCCGTCAGAATACCTGCGAGTTGTTCCGAGAAACCCAACTTCAAATTACGATATGGGCACGGAGCTAGACGTCTATTTATCATACAAGGAGGGCTATTCTGTAATTCTGATATATTATATCGCCTGAGATTTATAATTCAGTGTTAGTGTTTACCAGTTTTATGTGTGTATGGAGGAAAATAGAAATATTTATTATAAATAACATTCATTTTTTCTATGGAAATCGACTTGTTAATATCGGTGAATCTGATAGTCATAAAACGACATAGATTTAGAAACAGTGCACGAAAATTATAATGATTTCAGATATACATAAATAAGCATTATATTTTTGTAATATTATTTTACAGCTAGAAATTTTCTTTCATTCCCTCATCTTACTTATATCATGTCTTTATAAAGCGACCTCTTTTAATATTCATTTTAATATTTCCTATTTTTCACAATCGTTTTAGATTTGATTTGATAAAACACATAATGTAACACATAATAATATCTCCTAACATTAAACTGCCACTTGTATTTAAATCACTAGGCCATCAAATATTCAAACAGTAGAGCCATTTGAATGTAAACAATGTATATAATATGAGACGTTTCTACTGTGAAGCACACACTTACCATAATGGGAATCCTTATCGTTTGGTATATTTCCATTCGGTTCAAGTCTATCTAAACATTCTTCTGAGTAACCATTGTAAGGTAGTTTACCGCGAGCACCACCACCGCCGTTCTGCCTTCCACGACACTCGATATCAACTTCTGATTCGTCTTTCGTTGCTGTAACAAAAAAATAATTATTATTATTAAAAAATAATTCATATATTAAACTCATAAAGTAGATATAGTATCAAACAAAAAATATTTAGGAGCTTCGTTCAAAAATTATGACGTATTTCACTTTTAATGTGATTACAAAAATAAGTAGAAAAGAACTAATAATGTAAGTCATAAATTAGTATTAACCAATTAAAGATGTCTTCTAATAGTTATAGAAAGCAATCTTCCAACCTACATAGCCTTTGGATACAATTAATAATTTGCCAAGCACAATTTCGTTATTTATGCATCGCAACGAGAAACTTCAATAAGCGTTATTAAGATACAATAACAGAACAGATGTATCCAAACAATTCAACACGAAATTTGCTGCCTAATGAGAATACATAATTAATATTCACAACATAAACTATTCAAATATCTTTGTTTATACAATTTACTGAGCATATAAAATATACTTAAGGAATTTATTACGTAAAATCCTTTGTGAGAAGATTAAAAGAAAAATGCAGCGAAAGCAGTTGCAGTTGAAATTCAAACTAAATTGAGCCCGTCTGGGGAGCACAAAACAGAATCCACGACAAATTGCGCAACAATCCTTTGTCCCGACACCCCCAGCTACGACTAACCGATTTTGTGAAGCACAACGGATATTATGAAGACGCCAGGCCGTGTTTAAGACTTCAATTTGTGAACAGCACTCTCACAGACATTCACCTGATACAATTCTCACACAAAACTGTTAACATAATCCGACCATAGACGCTAATCTCATTGCGTTATTAAAATATCACCGTGTTCAAACATATGATAACAGAAGCAAACTATCTTTGGCAAATATTATAATAAAAAAACAAAAGGTTTCTTTCTTTTTGTTCAAGTTTTTTATCTAGAACAATTAATTTTCGTGAAGGATAGATGACCTTTCACCAGATTTGTACATCTGAAATTCTTTATTTAATATGAAGGGTTTTCAGACTTAAGGTCAAAAACCTGTAACCTTAATTGTTTCTTTGAAAGCGTTTTGCGTTCTGCATTATTAACAAAATTGTATTGTACGGTTTCAACGCTAAATATACTCTGTATATTGTAATCCATTGATCGATTTCGGCGCATAATATTTGACAAACGCAAGCCGTTTGTCAGAGTAAATTGTATTTACGTGAGGGGAATCTTAATTTTAGTGTTATCAGTTGTATACGACATAGTAATTGGAATGTGTTAACATATATATACGCCTTATATATTAATAGACTGTATTTCAACAAAGAAAACATAAATACATTAAATTTAAACTTTATCATGGAACATATTGTTTGTTAGAGCTTTAGATAAACTTTTAGTTATAAGGTTCAACCAAAACTTGTTCACATCCGTGGTCTCGACTTCCTCTCAAAGTTAAAATTAGCATAAACGTAACTCAGTACAAAAATCACCAACTTGATTTGCGTATTTAAATAAATATTTTTTCAATAATACATAAAAAATTCAATGAACAACCTAATAAAGAAGTAAACAGTACGATCTTAAAATAATCTTTAAAAATTATGTTCATTTTGTAAATGAAAAACAAGTAATAATTTCACAAGAAATATTTGCACGGAGGGAGTGTCTGATTGCGGAAATGTATTACATGTCCGTCGACCTTGATGCTTTGAGGTTACAATGGACGTATCAAAATACAATATGTGAGATTAATTTCAAACATGATTGCGGTCTATTTCACGATTATATACACTTATTAGATAATCGAGTATTTCATACATAAATACACCAGCCATTTGTGATTACCTATATTATATAATAAAAAAATCTTTAAATATAATTCAATTGTACGGAGGTTAATTTATACGTTATGGAAACAGACAGGAAAGAATATAAGTATGAACATATAATATATATTGTTTTGAAGAAACAATAATAAGGAAACAGAGATATTAAATTCGAATGTGTAATCGACTGTGAATTCATTCAATTCATATATGACATTCAGATCACGTTAAATTCTTCTCACATTGAATGAGTGCCGTCCAAAAAAAGACTTGAGGAACTTAAATCCTAACATAATAATCAACTGCAAAAATTTAAACAAAGCTTTTGTTTTAAACATTCCTTTGTTTAATGTTGTAAACCTTTGTTAGGGTACTGCTTACTGCTACTGAAATCTTACTACTGATCTATGAGGTATATATTTTAGTGTAGCTATATAACAATACTTATGTAACTATATGGTATAACAGTTAAGATTTACGATATCTTATCATCCATTATACAATACGGTTTACGTTACGTATAAGATAATCCTATGTTGATATACATGTACTTACGTTACGTACGTAATAGCATTGTGCGCTTAAACAGATATGAATTACTCTTCGGTATAAATCTAAGTACACACATGTCTGTGTATATGTACACATACAATCTCATACATAGTTTATTTTCATTTCCTATCAAATTTTTTCATGTATATTATTTGAATTAAAACAGTCTGCAGTACAGGTTTTCATATCTAAAAAGATGCAACTTACACGGTTGGCTGTTACGAAAACTGCTTACATAACGACGGGGTAATACATAGGTAAGACTGCACTTAGACCTCGCAAGACGCATTACTTTCTTCAAAGTTGCCAGTTCACGTTCTCCGGCTTGTGCTTTGATATTTCAAACCGTTTTAAAAATATCAAACAGAACTTTGTGCTTTATTTTTGTTTAGAAGCAGAGTACCGTAAAGTAAAATACTTTTCAATGCATCAATTTAAATGAAATATACTACTAAAGACTGTTTCCGAACATCTAACTTATTATCCAACCAGCTTGGGGTAATAAATAAATATAAAGATTAAATGTATAGTCTAATGGTAAGTAATAGGTTTACAAGAATATAAATTAACTAGTTATTTATAAACTGTCTGGCTAATGAGGATAAATATATAACATTAATAAGCAGACAGGAGATTCATAGATACTACTCACACATCAAAACAATTATATTGTGAGCTTCTAAGCCTTAATTTATACATACAAGATAACAACAAATAAACAGCTTCTTTTAACATTAAAACCAATTAACACCATCAAAGTAATTTCCAGTCATTAATAGGTCTCGGAAAAGAGTGAAAATTCCGCAGCTCATTAGCGTTACGTTAAATAAAAAGTGCAAGCCACGGGAAACATAAATGAGTGAAAGATAGCATAAAAAAGGGAGGGGAAAATCTGTACCGCACTCATCATATTCACAGAGATATAACACTTTTCCTCTTGCGGGGTCACGGAGGCATAAAGAAATTGCATTTCATAAAATCGCTCTCCGTGTAACAGAAGGAAAACTGGCATGTGTGTGAATAGTTAGGAGATAAATAGAAAAATATAATATTTACAACTACAATTAGAATTCTATAGCTTTTTGTATATGAACCTAGATATAAAGAACAGTTGTTAAATATATTTTAAAGTGTTTTCTTGGACTAGACATAATTCAATACAACAATTAGAATTGGTGTGATACTAAGTTACACAATAAATTTTTAAGGAGATCGCCTAGAAGTAAATATATATAATAAATTACTTTATTTATATTTGTATATACTCACACAGGTCAAATATTTTATGTATATAAATATCTTGTTACGTACCTGTGCGTGGATATGTGATTAGATTGCCATTTAAAATGCTTAAAATTTTCCTATTAATTATTACACGTATAAAAAATCGAATTTAATTAAAATACTCCCAATTATGTTACTTCAATATTTTAATTACCAAATACGCTACCATTATTTAATAATAAAATTTCAGGCATGTCATTATTTATAATTAATGATAATATGGACACATTTGTTAATTTTTGTTGACCTGGTTCCAAACAAAAGATAGGTGCGGTCGGGGGTAGTTCATTAAATGAATTGGACTGAAGATGGGAGCATACGAATTAAAACAGGTAATAAAAATACAACCGAGGGAATTTCAATAATAATTCACGACACTAGGTTTTGTGGATCAAAGGTGTATGACACTTCGATCTCCACTGCCCTTGATCAAGGTTGCTGTAAAGTAACCTTAACATCGGGCAAAATATAATTCAGTAAACCGCATAGCATATTCGAAACCTATAGTTTTATTTAAATGTGTACTCACGAAAATCTATACATATTAAAATATTCATTAATTCCAATCTAATTATAAAAAAATATTTCAAATAAAACATTCAGAAGTTGTTGAAATAATTACAACAAGTAGAATTAAGTAACAAACTACTTACAAGGGTCCGAATCTCTGCTTAATACACATTCACCATAATTACTGATCCGAAGTTCAAAGGGAGGAGGGTAACCTCAAAGTTCTCTGACGCCGGCGTCAAAGTTGAGCTGGGTCCAGATAGTTAGCGGTCAACAAGGCTTTCAACAATCCACGGACAAAGCAAGCTTTTATCTTACACTATATAATCCTTGACATTAACATGACCGCTTACAACAAGAACCATTCAAAGAATGACGGAATATAGAATATGATTCTAATGTTAGGCATGTTAATTGACAAAACAAACTCCTTGTTAGCTCTGTGAAATTTATAAATAATGTTGAAGCACTTTACCTATTACATTAACACGTACGAAAATAAAATGTATTAATATAAAAATTATACATCGTGTATGAAGAAATTACTAAAATAGATTTCATACAAAATAAAACGTTTCGATCGCTTCAATATTACAGAATCTGATAAATATATTACAGCGACGTACGTGTTTTATTACAACTAAATAAAAGCCACGTACGACATAATGAAATTATGGTTCGTTGAAAAATTCACTCTCGCCCGACTAATATAGGTCACTGTAATATGAAACATTTCGTTACTAATGACATTTGTACACCCAAAGCCTTATAAATCGTTAGCAATTAGCGTTAATGAAACGGAATTCCCAGGAATTATTTACAGTACAATAAAATATGGTTGCATACAGATTATGGGACCGCATTTATAGCTTAATATCGCCA